TCTTAGAGTCGGGCGGAAGGGGCAGGGCCGACTCGGGGAGGGATCGAGAGATTCGGAGACGTGGAAGTCCCTCCGTCATGGCTGCCCCCAAAACCTCCGCGACGGGCGGTATCTCCTCGACGAGCAGCGGGACTAACTTGCTTTTCTCCTCCTCAGCCACAGAATTCAATTTCACCGTCCCCTTCATCCCCGTCAGCCAAACCCCTCCTCCGCCTGTGGCTGCTTCGGGACCTGGCCTCCTTCCCGCAGGTAATGGTCGGGGGGTAGGGGGACACGGGAGTTGGAATCCATTTTCACTCCCCCGACGGCCTCCCCCCAATTATTTTGATGGGCAACTCTCGGATCCAGAGGGCTCGTACAAAATCAGTGCCATTTGAAGGTGGGCGACGCCTTGTACAGCAGAGGGCTCGCAACCTCGAGGACCTTACGGTGGACGGGATGATGAACGAGGGGTTGAGAAGGTGGAACATTTGATAGATGTCATATTTTGCTAGCGGGAAATGAATGTATTGTTGACCGAGGTAATAGCCTGTATTTCTTTTACTGTATATCAGGCTTGAAATGGAGTAATTTCACTGGTCAGAATTTCCTGGCGTGCTGGCCCCTTTCCAACCCTCTTTACAAAAACTGTCCTTTTTGCCACTTTAGGATAGCACTTCATGCCTTTGAAGGCTTCAGTGCACAACAGTGTGTGGTTTCACAACCTTGGTGCCACAATCTTACTATTGAAGACTCAGAGAAAGTTTCAAAGAAAGGCCTGCCCAATCAATGGGTATGGTTTCCTGGCTGATGTGACTTGTTGCATTTCTTTTTCTGGAAATTAAGCATTGGAAAGTGTAGTTATTTGGAGATAAGTGGTTAGATGGAAGAACATAATGTAGGTGGGTTTCTTGGGAAGAAGCATAGCAGGGAGGATTTGGTGGGGTTAGTTGTGTGAGATTGGAGAACTGCACTGGGATATTGATTGGACATTGGTGAAAGGTGCCAGCTGATGATAGTGAAAATCAATATCAGTTATGAGAGAAAACATCAGTGTCATTAAAAAACAGGTTTTATAAAAAACATTAACCTAATATGCGCCTTCATATTTCTTGTCCTATAATTCCTTTATTTATTTATTTGTTTGGTAATTTTACAAAGCTGCCCATCTCACACGTGACAGAATGGCGTACAAAGTTAAAGACACAAAAATGATACAACAAAATAACCAAAAGAATGACAACAAAAATAATTTAAAAAATTAAAAACAATAAGAACTATTAAAAAATAATCTACAGGAGAATGCACTCAGTTTCCCTAGCAATAAGGCCACTTTGCAGGCTCCGTACTCCCATTGCTGGATCCCCAGGCCAGATGGCGAAGCCATGTTTTCAGGCCTTTCCTGAAAAAATCATTCCCTCAGGGAGAATGATGTCCCAAGAGGCAGGTGCCGTGGCAGAAAAGGCTCTCCTCCTGGATCCTGCCAGATGACATTCCTTCATGCATGGGACCTGCAACATGCTCTTCCTGCCTTCAGGAAGGTCGATGTGATTGGGGAGAGGTGGTCCCTTGAATAACCTGGCCCCATGCCACATCCCACCCCACCAATACTTAGATGCTTCTAAGAGTTAGGATGATAAACTAATCATACTTCTGTAGTCTGCCAGAAATGTAGTAGCCCACTCCTCCAAACTTCAAATAATCTAACAAAAGAATTGATTTGATAGTAGTCACTTTTATTTGTATTGGGTCATGGAGCGCTTCTATGGTATTACTTGTTAGGCAGTGTTTTTCCTAATATCCATTCCCCATTAATGAAGATATTGATATATACATGATTACAAAGCAGTTTGAACTACCTATCCTTGCTGAGCTGAGATCAAGTTTCTTCTTTCCCTAAAGTAAATACTATTTATATTATTGATTTGGGGGTTGCTTATGTTTTTACAGCATGTATGTGAAAACAATGACAATCGTTGTTACATTAAACCTGAAACTGGGTATTGTAGTTGATGCTGAGTAAGGAAGGGATGAGTGTTAACCCTTCAGGTTGATTTTTCAGCTTGATTTTGTATGTTTGTTGCTGAAGAACTATTTTTAGTAAGTATAAGATATCAAAGAAAGATGGCACAGTTTTCTTTTACCTACACAGTAGATAATTTTAAAAATGCTAATGTGGACTAGATTATAATCTTACCTATTTGGTTCAATTAAAAGAAGAAATCATGGATTGCATTTTTTTTCCAGTTTTTATGAAAAAGCAAATGGATACATCCTACACTTTGTATATATATTTCTGGTCTTTGTAGAAATAGATTGTACTGCACTTAGATCTCTTGTACTATAATAGATCATAGATGAAGGTTATATGATACTGATTATATTTAGAAATACTTCCATTCTTTGTCTAGCAAAACCAATTTAAAATTCTGTGCAGCATAAGAGAAAGTAATCTGGAGAGAATGTTTTCTTCTTTTCCTCTAAAATGTTTCAAAAATGTGCTAATAGAGTAGTTGTTTATACAGTGGGGCAAAAAAGTATTTAGTCAGCCACCAATTGTGCAAGTTCTCCCACTTAAAAAGATGAGAGAGGCCTGTAATTTTCATCATAGGTATACCTCAACTATGAGAGACAAAATGGGGGAAAAAATCCAGAAAATCACATTATATAACAAAGTATTGAGATGAACTTTTGATATTGACCAAATACTTATTTTCCACCATGATTTGCAAATAAATTCTTTAAAAATCAGACAATGTGATTTTCTGGATTTTTTCCCCCATTTTGTCTCTCATAGTTGAGGTATACCTATGATGAAAATTACAGGCCTCTCTCATCTTTTTAAGTGGGAGAACTTGCACAATTGGTGGCTGACTAAATACTTTTTTGCCCCACTGTATAAACAACTACTCTATTGGTGGCTGACTAAATACTTTTTTGCCCCACTGTATAAACAACTACTCTATTGGTGGCTGACTAAATACTTTTTTGCCCCACTGTATAAACAACTACTCTATTGGTGGCTGACTAAATACTTTTTTGCCCCACTGTATAAACAACTACTCTATTGGTGGCTGACTAAATACTTTTTTGCCCCACTGTATAAACAACTACTCTATTGGTGGCTGACTAAATACTTTTTTGCCCCACTGTATAAACAACTACTCTATTGGTGGCTGACTAAATACTTTTTTGCCCCACTGTATAAACAACTACTCTATTGGTGGCTGACTAAATACTTTTTTGCCCCACTGTATAAACAACTACTCTATTAACTTGCACAATTGGTGGCTGACTAAATACTTTTTTGCCCCACTGTATACTAAGACAGAATATCAAGACAGATGTTGATATTGATCCACTGCTTCAAAAGGCATACAACACTTCAAAAGTATTTGAAATAATTTTCCATAGAAGGAGTTCCATTATACCTTTCCATGAATAAAAAGCAAATTAGATGTTCACACAGAAAGTCTTCTGCATATTCTGGCTAAATCTATAGAGTCAATATGAGTATTTGAAATTTAGTATAGTTCTCTCTGTGGAGTTCTTGGTACTCTCTGAGCTTGGTTGTTTGCTTGCAGATGTTTCATTACCCAACTAGGTAACATCATCAGTGTGAGTGAGTTTGGGGTTTGCTGCCTGTTTATATGCAGTAGCTTAGTTCTCCCTATTATGGTGTTGAAGAAATCCTCAAAAATTAGGCAGAGTTAAGAAAAAATGGTGCAGCCAAGAGGGGAAAATGAGCAGAGCCACAATAAAAATGGTGTCATTAATTTTAGCAAGTACAGAACCGGATTCAATAGACTGACTAGGTAATATTCTTAACTGTATGCCTCTTCAACTGTGGTGTAAGCCCTAAAATAGGTTCACACTATTAAAACCAACTTTTTCAAACACTCAAAATCTGAAAGGTTCTGGCCCTATCCATGTCTACATTATAGACAATTCACTTTGCATTTTGTCCCATTTTTGGTAAATAACGTCCCCCATCCAAAAAACTTTCCATGTTAAGTGCAGCCTCTAGCCATCAAAAGATAGTTCACTTCCTACATTAATTCATCAGTGGCTCCTTAACAGTTTAAAAAACTGGCTGATACGTTAGTGTTAGTAAGCCAAGGTGCCTACTGTATTGAGTGAATACATTTATTGGGGTAATATAAGCTAGCCAAAAAAAGAAAGATATTATTGTTTCACTGATGTATGCTAAATAAATATTAATTAATCATAGAGTTGGAAAGGGCCATTTAGGGTACTGAGTCTAATGCCTTGCTCAAAGCAGGATCTAAATTAAAGCATCCCATATAAATTGTGTCTAGCTTCTGCTCGAACACATGCAGTGAAGGGGAGTCTGCCTCCTCTTTGGGTAATTGGTCTGACTGTTAAACTGGTCTCCTTGTCAGAAGACATAATGTTAGACTATAAACTAATTAGAATACAAATACTGTAGCTGAACAGAAGGGGTTGACATTGGTGGAAATATCGTTTGTTGCTGAAATGCAATAGTAAATTATAACACTGCTGATTTTCATTTGAAGCTATGGAGGAGATGCCATTCTCTCATATAAGCCTATCTTATTTTTTAATAATCCTTACTATATTCTTCAATGCAGATGATAACACAGATGTTGGTGAAGAAGACAGTTTCCTAGGCCAGACATCAACAAATCTAAACCCCCCATCTACATTCAGTTATTTCTCCCAAATTCCTAGCAGTGGTGATCCCTTTGGAAGCATTGGACAACCACCCTTAGGGATGGCAACCTCACTCCAAGCTGGAACGTCTGTTTTCTCCAAGCCTCCAGTTTCTCTCCCTCTTCTGCCTGGATCACAAGATGGGCCAAGTATATTTTCGGCTACTGTTTCCAAATCACAGTCTTTTAATACACCATCTACTTCAGTACAAGGAATTGGTACTTATCAAACACCTCAGCAGAGTGGTCCTCCACCAACAGTCTTTTCAACTCCACCTCAGGGAGCATCACAACAAGGTTATAATCCGTATCGTCATACTACTTTAAGTAGTAGAGCCAATCCTTACATCACTCCACCACAGTTGCAACAGACACAAACACCTGCCCAGGGTCCCCAGCCTTCGCCTTCTGTATCACCTATGCAGAAATATCCAACTCCCGCAGGGCCAATGCCACCGGTAGGAAGATTATCTTTCAATATATTGGAATTACTATAAAAAAGTTAAGGACTGAATGTTCTAGTGTATTGCTCCTCTAACAATGTATCCTCTCATTGTCTCACATCTTCCAGCATCTCAGTAGTAACGGTTTATGATTTGCTGAATATGTTTTGTAACTTGATTTAACTGAGAAATGAAAATCTAGAAATACATTTCTGAACAAAACCGTTTGAGACAAATATTACCCTTAAAATAAAAGTATATGCATTTACTATCTTGGCACCTGCATGATTGATTATTAGGTTGCATGAAAACAAAACAGAAATGAAATGTTTTTGACTTTATGGAACTTTTGACAGTCTTTAATTGCATCAAGTAAAGAGTTAATACTTGCTTAGTTTATTGGTCATATCTCAATCTAAAATATTTGCAAAATTCTGAGACTGACTAGTTTTTGTATTTAATTTGATAACTTTTGAAAGTTACATTGAATGGAGTTTTGATTCAGGATTTAGATGTGGAAACCAACATCTTCCACCTAGATCAAATTTGAAAATAATTGGTAATCAGGTATACAGAATTAAGATACAAATCCCATTTTGCTTTTTCTTGCTAGGTGTGAATGCTAACAATATGGGAATGCTAGTTTAAAATGTATAAGAATACTGTATCCTTGTAATTCAGAATGGAATTAATTGCATGTAATTAAGGCGTGTATCTAAACATAAAGTAAAACTTTGAGAATATTGAGGAAACTTTTTTTCCACTTTTCTTCACCCCAGTCAGCACTGTCACCTCAGACATCAATGTCAGCAGGCACACTTGTGAAGGCACCACCTGTGTTACTACATAACCAGTATGAACCAGTTCAGCCACATTGGTTTTACTGCAAGGAAGTGGAAAACAAGGAGCTATGGATGCCATTCAGTGATCTAGATTCTACAGCTCTAGAGAAGGTTTATAATTCTGGTAAGATTTAAGGATGGCCTTTGTGTAATAATTTTTAGCTTTGGACATGAAGAGAATGAACAAGCATATTATATGATATGCAGATCATATTTACAGTGAGACATTCTTTGTGTATTCTTACAGTCTTTTTCAGTGAGAATTTGAGACCTGGCAGGTCTCATGTTTGGAGGCAAACAATTTCTCTTCAAAACTCTATGTGCTGCTTTGCTTTTCCTGATATCTTCTGAGTGGGTAGGCAGACAGGTACAGCCTGCTGTCCTGGAAATTATCAAATGGCAGAGCATTTTTCACCACTCTGTGTACTTCAAAGAGTAAACAGAAAGTACCATCTTGTTAAATATAGGTACATACATTTTTTCTTGTCATAGTACAGAACTTGATATATATAACATTTGATGACCTTGATCACAGTTATTCATGAAGGAATCAACATTAAGTATCCAATTCTATAGGAGAGATTTTCCTTCACTTTTTTCCTTCTTCCACTGTGCATTCCCCAGATCTACTATGAAAGATGCCACAAAGTCATACATTTGAATAGTGAGGAGCAGTTCTGCCAAGATTCTTCAGATAAACAACTCTCTAGCCATTTCAGTGTAATAAGACTGGATACCGAATACTTCATTATTCAAAGAGGATTCCCCCCCTAGTTTTCATACTATTTCTCCTGTTTCCTTCCTTTGGTATGGTATCTGCTGAGCTTTCCTGTTCTGTCCCTGCTAGTGTATTTCACATATTGTCTGTTTCTAACCATCACCAATGAGCAAGGTGGAACAACTGGTGAAAGAGACATACTATAGTAATCTAGAAAACTTTCCAAAATGCTTAATTTCCCAGTAGGAACTTTGGTTCAGAAACAATATCACTGTTCAGCGTAAAACTTGAAGTGAAGACTTCTCATTTCTAATATCCACAAGTTAGTTAGTTGAGAAAGGGAAAAAGGTTGCTAAAATAATAATTCTCTTTTTAATCTTTAGTGCAACCTGATCCAGAGAATGTAGTCTTGAGTACTGATGGAGGACGCTATGACATTTATCTATATGACCGAGTGAGAAAAGCTGTGTATTGGGAAGAACAACAATCTGAAGTAAGACGATGTACTTGGTTTTATAAGGGAGATAAAGACAGCAGGTTTATTCCTTATACTGAGGATTTCAGTGAAAAACTAGAGGTGAGTATTTTTAAAATTAAGGCAGCAATATTAGCTGTAATAAAAAAATCCCAAATTCATACTAAAGCAAAGTTTATTTCGAATAAAGCTTAATAATGTGCTACCACATCCACATCACCATTTTTAAGATCATTTTATTATTTTCGTGGCCTTTGAGCTGGCTTTATAAAAATGTTGGCGTAATATTAATTTTAAGCCAAAATTTTGGTTTAAATTAAAAAACCCTGCTTGTTGAAAATTAGGCTTTTATTTTCTTAGAAAGTTTTCTTTTAAAAAATGCAAATTATTTTACATTGGATAGATTGTATGTGGCAAAACCTGGTATTGAACTGTGACATGAACAGTGGGAAAGAGAACTACAGGTAGTCCCTTGGTTAAGAATGCCTAGTTTAAGGATGACCCATAAGAACGGAGCCTATTGTAGCAAAATTCAAGTTAAATGGACAACAATTCAAGTTAATTACACAATACTACTTATACAGTATTATACAATAATACTGTTTTGGCTTACATACAAATTCGATTTAAGACCTTGGGAATGGAACTCATTCTTAAACTGGGGACTACCTATGCAATCATGATTATATTATTATTCAGTTGCCAAAATGAATTATTTTGAGGGTTAATATACTATGTTAAATTCAGTAATGTATTCTTCATATACATAGCCCAGATTATTTCATCATACAGCCCACATGTATTTGAAGCTAGACCACTCTATGCTGCATTAGCCCTAAATAGAACTTCATATTGTTGGTATCTGGCTTTTATTGTGGCTTCACATCCAACAGCAAAGTGCCATTTAGAGCATCTGAGGCATGGAGCACTATGGGAGAAACATCTTTGTCTCTCTAGTTTTCATTATATTTCAGATAGTTGTCTGCCTTTATAAATTTGATTAATTGGTGAGAAATACATAGTCTTTATACATAAGTTATAGGAACAATTTGAGACTTAATATAATATTATAAATGAATTTAAATTACATTCTTCTGGCATTGTCCTTTGATGTGATATCTTGATGCTTAAAAAAGTTTTAGTTATATAATTGATCTTCCTTGTAGGCTGAATATAAGAAAGCTGTTACCACAAATCAGTGGCATCGGCGATTGGAATTTCCAGGTGGAGAAACTTTTGTTATGCATAATCCTAAGGTAATGACAATTCTCATGGTAAAGCAGTGTTGCTTAATTAGATACTCTGGAGGGCATCAGTACTGTATTAATATTATCACTGTGCAGGAGAATTATAAGTGGGAATAGAAGCAGGAGCCTGTTTTGGGCCACTGGGGGAGGTTGAAATGATTTAAGGGTGGTTTTGGATAGTTTTAAGCGTAGATTTTGGAGGCTTAAGGGTGAGGATTGGAATGATTTACCTCCCAGAAGTCTCCTATTACTATTCCCATTGTTAAAACCCTGAAAAGCACCAAAATTGTAAAAAAAAGTCCAAAAACCAATGAATTTGGGGTGGATAGAAAGCATGCTGCTTAAATTCCATCAGTTTACTGCCAACATTTGATGGAATTATCTTGCGATGTGGGAGGTTGCAAATATAGTGTTGCGAGTCACAAGTAGCACATGGTTCATAGGTTGCCTACCCCTCAGTAAAGTTATATAAAGACCTAACTTAATTTTTTAAAATAAGATATACTCTTGTTTGGGGCCTAAAATAGTGCCATTTTGCTTTTTGAAGAGAAGTTAATCCTATCTGTCCTTCAATCTCCTTAGTAGTATCCCTACTTTAAGAAATAGCTGCTCTATTGGAATCTGATATTGGATGTATCTTGCCAACAGTGCAGTTTGAGATTTTGAGTAATGTTTTGTCACAAATCATTATTTTAAACTTTGACTAATCTTTTAAATCATTTTGGAAATTTAAATAAATAAAACTTTGCTTTTGCCGAAGTATGTGCTGAACAATCTTATGCTGTGTTTTCTTGGAGAAAAAAATCTGTTGTCTCCATAAAGTTAATCCACCTAAGCTATAGTATAAGTTTTATTGCATAAGTTAAAATAAGTATAAATGTGCTACATTGATTGTGTCTCAGGTTATAGTTCAGTTCCAGCCTTCTTCAATACCAGATGAATGGGGCACCACGCAAGATGGTCAGACCAGACCAAGAGTAGTAAAACGTGGAATTGATGATGATCATGAGGACATTCCAGATGGTAAGTTGTCCAGGATTTCAGACAAAATATTCTCTTATAGTCTCTTGCTTTCTCTTTACATACTAGGGTGAAGAATATATTGGCTCCCAGCAAACTTCTGACTGTAAAGATGCTAGCAATGAGTAAGGCCACTGTCCAGAATGGATAGAACCTCTTCCCTCTGGACATGTGGTATTTACCCAGAGATGCCCGAGAGGCTATTGCCTCAATCTCATCTTCAGATCACAATTTAAGGGATGCCTTAAAGCGCCTTCAAAGCTGAATAGAAAAATGCTGTAAATATATAGGAACATTTAAATAGGAAACGATGCCCTGTAACATTTATTTTTGACTTTAATTGATAGTTTTTATTTTTATTTTTATAGGTGAAGTTTCTCAAATTGATCATTTGGTATTTATGGTTCATGGAATTGGCCCAGTCTATGATCTGCGCTTCAGAAGCATTGTTGAATGTGGTAGGATTATTTGAGTATTGGTACAGGAATGCTTATGACAACATACTTCCTCATTCATTTCTTCAGCTGGTACCTTACTATGTTGATTCTTAAATCTTTATTTACAGTTGTCTGTAGAGGCATTTAGTCATATACACTAAAGTGTTTAGGCCAATCTTCAAATTGGATTTCAAATCAGCAGATGTTGCATCAGAAATATAAACATACAAATTAAAGTTCCATGTGGTTAAGTGGGTAATGGAATGAATAAATTGCTCCAAAATACATTTAAATAAATGCTATATTATCTTAAAAAGCTATAAGTGAAAGAAAGCAGAATTATGAACTAGTATTATTGATAGACTTAGTATTTAGAAGTCAAGACTTTCCAAATGATTAGGAGAGGTGAAGGATGATAAATTGCTCCTGATGCTTTATTCAAGTAAACTACAAACATATTTTCTAATGTTTTGGGAGGTAAACGCTGTAGAACTTGGTGGGGTTTTAAAATCAAAATATGATTGAGTATATTTAAAACTTTAGTTATGTTTTTACACCTTTTTTGTGCAGAGTTTGGACTAGAAAATATTTTTCAGGAATTAGAAATTCTGTTAGAGACAGTATGCACATAATCACTATAAACTTGTTCAGTTAATGTTAATCTATGCCACCTTTACTACTTTTCTCCCTTTTTAAAAAGTTGATGACTTTCGGACAGTATCCCTGAAATTGCTGCAAACGCATTTTAGGAAATCAGTAGAAGAACATAAAGTGAGCAGAGTCGAGTTCCTGCCAGTTCATTGGCATAATGCTTTGCATGGAGATGCAACAGGGGTGGATAGGTAGGTCTACTGTACCCAAATATCACTCATCCAATCAGCTTGTAATATGTTGGAAGTAGATTTGTTCTTTGATCATTGACTACTATCTCAAAGTTGATCAGTTGTGATTTTAAATGTCCTTTAACAGGAATAATTAATCTTTGTGATGGTTTAATTTAGAATTGCTAAATATTTATTGTTACCATGAATAAGATACCATATGCTGAGAACTTACGTTGTACTAACTTTTTCATTAGAATAAAAAAAGCATTGAATTTGTCCTAGCATTTTATTCCATTTTTTAGTAATTGCAGTTTATTATACTGTACCTGATTTGTCAGATTAATAGGTAAAATTAATACCATTGGTTGTGAAATTAGTTTGATCCAACCAACTGTGGTTAAGGCTGATTACAGTTTACAGCTTGTACAAGGATGGGGAAAATAGAAGATAAATGTAATAAGTCTTGTTCTTGCCATACTAAATAATTGCTAATTGTGATATTTGAATGCAGCCAGTGTGAGCCCTTGAATATTTGAACCAGCCATTCTAGGATACTAGAGGTTAAATGACTGTTGCATTTAAGTGTTAAGTGTTTTTGAATAATTCACCTGAAATCATGGAAGTGCAAATTGTAATATGGTAAAGTGATACTGGCATACTTCGGCATACTTCATGTCATTATGTCTAACATAACATGTGGCCCACATTATGAATTGCAGGATCTTTAGCAATCTGTTTTATGGAGTTTGAAGGGAACAGGTCTGTCCCTGTCTGGTATGTTGATTAGGTTCACATATTGCACTCATGGTTTGTCTAACCATGGATTATTGAATACATCACCACTAGTTAGATTCACACACACAGTAAAACCTCAGTTTACTGAACCTTGATGCAACAAACCAAATTTGTGTCAATTTAAGTAATTACATCATCCAACACATGAAGTTAATCTGTATGATGGTGTAACTTTCAGTTTAACAGAGGATCATGAATAACAGACCTCCTTTCTCCCAAATGGTCTGTTAAATTGGGGCAAGGCTGTTAACAGGGAGTAGAGAAGCTACAAGGAAGGTAATATCATGGTGACTATGGTTGATTTGTAGTTTTGAAAAATGATCTGTGAAAACTTCTTTGGCAATTTTTAATCTGGAGTTTTCTTGGTTTAGCAGTTTATTGGAAACACATTACTTAATAACGATCTATGTAATTATGTATTTCAAGGAATATTAAAAAAATAACATTGCCAACTATTGGACGCCTACGCCACTTCACCAATGAGACTCTACTTGATATCCTGTTTTACAATAGCCCCACTTACTGCCAAACAATTGTGGATAAAGTAACAATGGAGATGAACCATCTGTATGTACTTTTCATGAGCAGAAACCCTGACTTTAAAGGAGGAATCTCTGTTGCTGGCCATAGTTTAGGTAATGCATTATTTTAAAATGATTTGTTCAACAGAACATTTTAATTGCATAACTCTTGAGAACTGTTGTCTAAATGAGAGTTTTAGTTCTTGAAGTTGTAGCTAGATTTTCGTCCTAGAAACATCTCTGGGTATTCTGACATGGTAAATGTATTTCTATTTTGTCAGGCAAAGGGAAGGTTGGGTAGCATATTTAAGAAGCCAATGTGTAAATCACTATTTAAACCCAGACAGTTGAGAGATCTCAAAATTCTTCTTGTAATGATACATTTTGTGTCTCCTAGGATCCTTGGTTCTATTTGACATACTGTCCAATCAAAAGGATTGGACTTCTGCAGTTAATTCTGTTCCTGTTGCTGCCAATGGTGCTGTGAGAGATGTGACAGATGACCAGCAGGTATTTGTATTAATAAACAATTTTCCTTAATATTTTTGTGATTGCTGAAAAAACTTCAACCGATCACTGCAATATTCAAAACACTAAAATATGTAGCCTACTCAAATTGCACTGCTATCATACTTTACAGAATGTCTTCTCCCCTGCCAAGTATATGTGAAGTATTTTTTTTTAAGAAGTAGGAAAAATAACTTGTATCATTAACTTTTTCATATATTTTGTCAATTCTTGAGGATGGTTCTACTGCACTAATCAAGGAAAAACATTTTTCTACACACTAACCCATGCATGCACAGTGTATGCTAATCTTTCAGGTTCCTGAAAGAACCCATCAGTATTTTTATTTAGAATCTTAACTGTTATTGTTAAAAAGAGCTCTGTCATAAACAGAGCTCCCTGCATTTTCGCTAGAAGCTATTGCAAAATATATATTTTCTATATGCATTATAATGAGATCTGGTAATGCATTTGAGAATTAATAAGTGCTTAACACTGATGTTTTTTTAGATACAAACTACATGTTCTGCAATCTAAACAGGACTTCTCTTTGTGGTATGGTGGATTTAAGTGAGCACCAAAAGTACATACATCCACTCTATGAGATTTATTTTTGAACTGTCTACTTATTCATTAGTGAAATTGATTTATTTTGACTTCTGTTTGGTTTTAAATTTTATATTCTAATGTAGATTTTTTTCCTTTCAAGGTGTCATTGAATTCTAATTCTGCTGGTTGCCTTTCTCATTTAAATGATGAACATATGGATCATGAGGAGGAGGAGGATATTCCAACTTTGCAAAGAACTTTGGAAATGCTTAGTTTGTCTGAGTACATCAGTACTTTTGAAAAGGAAAAGATTGACATGGAATCTCTGGTATAGTAAAAATTGAAAAGTAACATTGAGAATACAAGTTAATACTACATTTGTTTCTTTGGAGGCATCTGGATTTGAGAGGGAAAAGCAAAATGTTTAGAAGAGTCTGATCTATTATACTTGTGTGAGAGAGAGACACACAGTGAGAGATAGTGTGCATGTGTATATATACACCCATACACATACACCCACATATACTCGAATATATTGTAAGAGGAGAGTTCTGAAGACCCAAAGCACGTATAAGGGGTTTGCACACAGAGCTCCATATGAGGTGGGGTTCTGAGAAAGCACAAGATGTTCCATGTATGAACTATTTTGTGTACATAGGAGTGGTTTGGGGTTTTTGCCTGAACTGACCACGCATCTTTTGAATATTTGCGTTTGCGCATGGAGTGAAATGTGACTACTTTGTTCCAAATGTGTTTTAGCCCAGATATACAGCAGAACACAGTACGTGTGAGCAGAAGTGGTTGCAGGGAAATGGTTGGGAAAGAAGCAGGGAAAAAGTCAAGGACATTAAAGCAGTGGTTGAGGGGAAACAGGGATGGGAGGAAAGGAAAAGTGCTAAGAATATTGGGGGATAGGTGGGCTGGTGAGATATGTCTCACTGGAGCATCAGTGGTGTTGGCTGACAAAAGGGAAAAAGATGTTAGGAAGATCAAGAGCAAGCAGATGGGATATGCTGTGTGCTGCTAACTTCTGAAGGAAAGAAAGGAGGGAACAAGTGAGCAAAGAATAGCAGCCTTATCTACTTGGCCTATCTGGATTTTGTATATAACTTGGAACCACCACAGTAGATTTTTCCAAGCTGTGGCTGACCCAAAATAGTTTGATAGAACTTCCAGAATGAGATAGTTTGTTTGAATTCAAAACAGAACATCATTTCCGTTTTATGTACACCCCTGAAGAACCTGTTGAGCCAGAAATCGCTGTTATCTGGAGGAATTTATATGCGTACATTAATGTGTGGCAACATAATGTTAGTGAATGTGGGTTCATGACTACCCCTCCCCTTGATCATTAAATGCCTGAGATATTTACAGTCTCTAAAATCATTTTAGGACAGTCACTAAAATGATAAATTCTTGAGAAGAATGAGTGTTTCCACAGAAGTTACCATATGTTAATTAATGGCAAATTTACGCGTGTATTTTTCAGCTCAATAGCCAGTTCTAGTGAATCCAAAAAGACAAGAGAGGAAATAGTTGCACAACATTTAGAAGAAGTGTACTAATTTCTCAGTGGGCATCACTACCCTTTAGGCTATGTGTTGTTAACAGGAAGCAGCTACATATTTTTTAGTTTTACAGCTTCATGGTTTTTTTTTTATGCTTCCTGTGAAGAAAAGGATTTCATATTGTCTCATACTCTGCTCACAGTCACTCATGCTCTAGTTATCTCCAGATTGGACTGCTGTAATGCGCTCTACAGGGGCTGCCCTTGAAGAGTATCTAGAAGTTTCAACTGGTGCAGAATGCAATGGTATGGGCAGTTATGTGCACTCCTAGAAGAGCATGTATTACACCTCAGCTTCGTAAGTTGCATTGGCTGCCAGTTTGCTTCTGGGTCCTATTCAAGGTTCTGGTTTTGACTTTTAAAGCCCTTCATGGCATGGAGCTGGGTTATTTGAGGGATCGCCCCTCCCTGATTACATCAGCCTGTCCCATTAGATCCGACAGGGAAGGTACGTTACACATCCCATTGGCCAGGAACGTGCATTTGGTGCATCCTAGGAGTTAGGCCTTCTCTGCCGTGGCTCCCTCCTTGTGAAACATTCTCCCTCCTAAAGTTAGGCTCACCCCTTCCCTGCTGTTGTTTAGGAATTCCCTCAAGACCTGGTTGTGTTATCAGGCCTGGGGGTCTTTGGGAACTGGAAACATTCTTAGATGGCTCCACTGTAATTGATATTCTGCTCTCTCCATGGGGTTTGTATATTTTAAAATCTAAAATTTTAAAAAAAATTGATAAAGTTTTTATTTTAATCATAACTTTTTATCTTTTTCTAATGCTTGTTTTTATCCACTTATTATTTTATTTAATTGTTGTATGCCGCCCAGAGTCACTTTGTGTAAGGTGGGCGGCTATATAAATGTGATGCATAAATAAATAAAAAAATAAATAAACACATTTTGTCCCAAAGCACCCGTGAAAGCAGGATCCCCATATTTAGCTGACCTAGTAAAAGCCATAGCTTCTTGACTGAAGGACAGGCCAGTGTGTGAAGCTGAATTGATCTCAGGACACTGCATACTTGAATTAGAAAGCTTGGGACACATTCCTTGGTGCATAAAGGAATCATTGGAATGAATGGTGTTTAGGTTGACAGAATCTGTAGCTTTCAACTTTGGTGAGAGTTGAGCATGGGGTAAGAGGGATTCTTTCTCCACACTGGGTGAAGTTTCAGGTGTAGTAGCCAGAGATGTGAGAAAGAATTGAGCTGCAATTGGCATAAGCTTTTTACTGGTATCTTAGAGGACTACTCTGGGAGGTTTACAAAGAAGTTAAAATCAATTAAAAATACAATGTAAAATGGTCCTGAATAAATAGAAAATAAATATAATCCAAGAATAGAAGTTAAATTGGCAAGTAGCTTGGGGAGCATCATCAGGGCGCCAGCTACCCCCAGGATTGGGTAAGATTCTTATTGCCCCAAGCAAGTTGGCAGAGCCAGGTCTTTAATTCTTTCTGGAAAGCCGGGAGGATAGGGGGAGCTGCACCTCTTGGGGGGAGAATATTCCAAAGGGTGGGGGAAATGGCAGAGAAGGCTCTCCTCCTGGGCCCTGCCAGCCGACATTCTCTCACTGACAGGGTCCATAACATGCCCTCTCTGCCTGACCGGGTGGGACTGGTTGATGTGATGGGGGTGAGATGGTCCCTTAGGTAACCTGGACCCATGCCATGTAGATTGAAAAGTTGTTTTAAATCACTGAGTCTTTTCAAAATAGTAAACTGTTCCTTCCTTGAGGGTTGAGAGGATGTAGAAACATAAAAGTCAGCTAAATTTCCTGAGATAAATGAAAATGGATTAAAAATGAAATAAAAACATGAGAAAACAATAACTGCTACAGCTACATTGCCATTACAGGGATGGGTAGGTGGGATTTGTTGGTCACGATAAACTACTTTACCTTTCTCTTTGATGATATTTGGGGACTAATAGATGTTCTAGGTTTACAGTATTGGTTTAAAATATTTATTCTGTATTTTAATATATTTTTGTAAGTTCTGGCTCCTACTGCTTTCAAACTGCAAGGCAAGGATAAATGGGGGAAATGCTGTTATTTCAATTACACAGACTTGGTTATACTAGAGTATCTTGACTTGCCTCCCAGGATTCATGGGAATGTTCACCAGTGCAAATGTGATTCTCTAATACTACTGAAATGTCTGTACTTCTCTTTGTAACTAAACAAATATAGGGAAATAGTTATCTGTGTTCTTTTAAAGGGAAAATATAAAACTTAATTTCCTTCATTTTTATTTTTAAAGTTGTTGTGTACGGTTGATGACCTGAAGGAAATGGGAATACCTCTTGGGCCTCGGAAGAAGATAGCAAACTTTGTAAAAGACAGAGCAGCCAAACAGGTGGGAATGGTACCTTTGCCTTGAGAAGCAATCTCAATGAGTCTCTGCTCGTCTGTTTTTGAATATTAACATATCATCACAACAAAGAAATACAAAATAGGCAGGGTAATAACATATTTTATTGATCCTATATTTGGAAGAAATGCCCTTCTGTCAAACTATTATATTTAACATTCAGCTCCTAATAGAATTTTTCTATTTGTAATCCTATTCTTTATCATATCAATTTGATGCTGACTTTAACTTTAATCAAGAATGCCCCTTATAATTCAAGAAAGTTAGAAAGTATTGCTCTTAACATTTAACCAATTTCCATCATGCAGCTAATAAGAAAATATTACTGAAAGCAGACAGCTTGAATAAGCAAAATATACTGTAATGTTGTATCTACCAGACCTATCAGTCAATCAAATCTCTATTGAGGTCATAGACCAGCATAAGGAAGGTGGTGCACAGTCATTAAAAAAGCATAAAGGATACATAAGACAAAGCAAACATTGATTTCTAAAATTCCGGGTGAAGTTTATGGTGGTCTAGATGTCTTTGAAGGAGCAGGGACAGTGCTATGGCTGTGAACGGCAGCCAGCAGTGATTTCTGGGCGGCCAAGTATCTGGTCTTTCTAGATACAGGAAAGACAGAGATCGTCCACTTGCACCCTGGACTGCTGCTCCTAATGAGAAGACCATGGGATGGAAGTCTCTGGTTTTCTTATGAGTAGAGTGGCAGGGGGTCAGGGAGAAAGAGCTTGCTCACACATGCAAGCGCAGCCTTTTAAAGGACACGAAGTTCAACCAACCCTCACTTTCTTAATCACTTCAGGATATAATCAATTTACAGTTGAAAAGAGGTCTTTGAAAACAGTGGGACAAAGAAAACTTCTTGGTGAGTTAACCTTCCTTCCAGATTACAAAAGGTAAAGCAAAGAGGAAAATAATACTTTTAAAAGACTTTAAAATAACAGCAAAAAGCTTAATCAAAATTTTGGCTAAGAAAGTTATAAACAGATAAAGGGGATGGCATAAATCTGAAAGATGAATATTTTGGTGAAAGTGTTTTTGGCATTGCTTGGAATTAATTCAATAAACAGACTGGACTTTCCTGGGAATGCTGATTGTTTGGCAACAAACTGAAAAGATAATTGGTGAAAGATACAGCATAAGGAGATAAGTGTAATATGACATGGATTGTGTCATCTAAACTACGGAAAGATAGATTGGACTAAAATCTTAACGGTATAGAGAAAGCGAAAGAGGGGAAAAAAGAGAAGCCTGCTATTTACCTTCATGTTTGTAACTGACTTACTCTTCCTTCTGGATTATAAATAAAAAAATAGTGACCACCAGAAAAGCTGCAAAGCAAGGTAAGAGAAGGAGAGTTTCATTAAAGCAACTGACAGAAAAAGGGACTACCCCAGAAATATTACAGAAAACGTTTGAAGAAATGGGAAAAAGATATCTGAATCTGTTAAATCTGTCAAACGTGAGTTGGTTGCTTTTCAAGGGAGAATGGAAGAAAGGTTTGTAAAGATAAAAGAGGAGATGAAAGAAGTTACAAAAATAATTGAAGAATCTACTGGTAATCTTATGGGAGAGGTTAAACAAATTAATGATAAAGTGGAAATTTTAGAAAGTAAAACAAATAATAAACAGGGATGGACAAGGACTTAGATAATTTGGTGTTATTGGAATTGGAAGAAAAAGAATTCTGCCTGAGATTTAGAGCAGTTCCAGAGGATCTGGGAGAAGATACTAGAAAAAAGATTGTTCAATCTCTAACAATTTTTTTTTGGAATGGGATGAAGATGATATGGAGGCAGAAATTGACAAAGTCTGTAGAATCAGCATGCAATTTGCAAAACTAGGAAATATACCAAGGGATATTCTTGTGTACTTTGTCAAAAAGGAGACCAGAGATCAAGTTTTGCAGCAGCATTTCATTACTTGATTGAAGATTAATAATGCAGATGTGACTGTACTTAAAGAAATTCTGATTATAATACTGTGCAAACGAAAAGAGTACTTCTTTTTCACTAACAAGCTCAACAGAAAAAGATAACATTTCAATGGGATAAATTGAAAGGAGTGATCTTCACATTTAAACAACAGAGGTTCAGATTGAACTCAGTCCAAAAAGCAAGAGAATTTCTAGAAAAGTTTAAAGGGGAACTGGAAGAAATGCAAATGGAAATGATTGAGGGCCCCGGCACTCTGAACCCTAAACAGCTACAACAAGAAACTGAGGAGGAGACCACCATGCTGGGTGCAACAGATATTGACTTTTCTAAGTTTTTGGCATAAGTATGAATTTTAAATGCCTAACATGGAATATAAATGGTGTAGATGCTCCTAAAAAAAAAAGAAAGAAAAAGAAAAAATTATTTCATTATTTAAAAAAATTGAAACAAGATGTAGTTTGTCTTCAAGAAATGCATATTAGAAAAAAGGATATAAAATATTTGATCTGCAAAAATTTGGGAAAAGAATTTATTTCAGCAGGAGTAAAAAAGAAAAATGGAGTTGTTTTCTATATAAACCTCCAATTGCAGCCAGAACTGATATTGACTGATAATTATGGTAGATATGTGGGGGCGGAAGCTACTTTGCATGGGGCTAAGTTTGATAATGGGAATTTATGCTCCAAATGAAGATAAAATAACTTTTTACAAAGGACTTACGGACAAACTAATGGACTTACCGTATGAACATTGGTATTTAATGGGAGATTGAAATGGAGTAATTTGTCCACTGAAGGACAGAACCTCAGAAAGATATTAAAACAACACAAGGTAAATTACTAAAAGTTTTGTTTGACATGATGGACAATCTAGAGTTTGTAGATGCATGAAGATACAAAAATGGCAATGCAAAGGAATACACTTATTTTTCTGAAAGATGCAGATCTTTTTCAAGAATTGATAGTTTTGGACATCTAAGAATTTGGCTTCTAGTGTTCATTAAGTGGAGATACTGCCAAAGACTTTTTCAGACCACAGTCCAGTCAGTTTAGTATCTAAAAGGAAAACCAGTTCTTTCAGATGGAAGTTAAACAAAACATTGTTGCAGAAAGAAACAGTAATGAAGATTGTTAAAAGAATTTTTTGTTAATAATATTAATAAATGTACAGACATAAGAATGGTTTGGGATGCAAGTAAAGCTTTTATGAGGGGCTATTTTAATAATACAGCATAATAATAAACTTAAAAAAAGAGAGACAAGAGAGCACACAGGTGATTTTAGATCAGATAAAAATGAAAGTCATTCAAAGATATTGCCCAAAATGAAAATTATTTCACAACAAATTAAACTTTTACAATGGCAGCTGTCTTTGTTAACAGTAAGAAAAATGGAAGTAAAAATAAATTATGCAAAACAAAAGAATTTGAATTTATTTATTTATATTTATTTATTAAATTTCTCCCCCGCCCATCTCCCCCCAATGGGGAAACTCTGGGCGACTCACACAGAACATTAAAACCATAAATATATATAAATACATAAAACCTCAATTTAAAAACATTTCTAAAAAAGGGAATTTACAAATAAGCTGGGGAAATGGTTGGCATATAAGTAGAGGAAAAAGAGAAAAAATGATATTAAAATTACAAGATGGAAATACTTGAATAACAGATAATTTAAGGAAGCAAAAAAAAATTCATCACTACTACTTTAAATTATATAAAGGAGAAGAAATTCCCCTGGCAAAGGTTGATCAATATTTAAAGAAAGAAAATTTACCGAAGATCACAGAAAAACAGAAACAATTAATGAATGGGCCCATTACAATAAGAGAAGTTTGTGAAGCTATGAAAAAGGCCAAAATAAGGAAAGTGCCTGGACAAGATGAATTATCAGTCTCTTATTATAAATATTTTGAAGATGGATTATTACAACCATTGCAAACACAATGAATGCTATTTTACAGATTAGAAAGATACCGGATGCCAATAGAAGAGAACATATGTAGTTCAGGGTTGAACTGTGGAGTCCTTGGGGTTCTCTGAGCTTGGTTGTTTTCTTGCAAAGTTTCGTTACCCATCTAGGTAACATCTTCAGTGTTAGAAGGGAGTGGGGTTTGCTTTCTGTTTATATACAGTAGCTTGCCCTGTCAGTGTTAGTGGGGGAGTTGTTTTTTTTTCCTTGGTAGTTCCTAGGTTAGGCTGTTGTTTACTGCTTGATTGTTTGTCTGGTGTTAATCCTGGTGTTAATCCCTGCTTATGTGTGTATTGATTGCTGTCGAGGAGGTGTTCTGGTCTTTTTGTTTCCTTTTTGTTGTCTCTTTTGAATAGTGTGTAGATGTTATTTATCTCTATGTGCCGTTGATGGCTGACTTGCCTGAATACCAAGCTTCCAGGAATTCCCTCACGTTTTTGGATTTAGCTTGGTCTAAGATGCTGACGGTTTCCTAGCTGAAACTGTGGTCGAGTCTCTCCACGTGTTGTGAGGTTAAGGAGTTTTCGTCATGTCTTCTGACTGCTAGTTGGTGTTCATGGATGCGCTCTGCTAGTTTTCTGTCTGTCTGTCTGTCTTACACAGTGGCTGTTACTGTCCTTACCCTGTATGTTATAGATGACTCCTGATTTTTCTTCTTGGGCTACTGGGTCTTTTAGTTTACTTAAGATGTTTTGGAGGGCTTTAGT